ATAGGTAGTCAGTGGATGGGACACACTTGATGTGGAAAGAATGCATTGTTTTTGGAGAAAATTGGTACTGGACATAGTCCAAGTTTAATTCCCAAACCTTCATTTTTCCCTCACAAATTTCAATTTCTTCAATGACTTATTGTACTCAAGCACACAAAAGATGACACCAAGTAACCAACCAAAATTAATGTGATAATAGTTTTATGTTATTAATGTTGGTTGGTTCGATAAATTCGATTTTGTTTAGAAAGACCCAGAAAATGAAAAGAATAATACTCATCTGTCCCATTTATATAAGCTTGTTTTGTTTCACACGGATTAAAAAATCTTATTAATATTATTGGAAAAACAATTTTTCTCAAAAAATCTCTTAGTTTACCCTCATTTAATTATTAATAACGTGTAGTAAATTATTATTTGAAGTAATAAAGAAATAAGGGTGTATTAGTAAACGTACAAAACAAAAAACATTCTTAATACAGAAACAAGATTATATAATTGAGACAATAAAATAAGAAAAGTAAGATTATATAAATGGGACGGAAGGTGTACTATCTAGCATCAATTTAAATGACCACACTTGATAAATTCAATTAAATCGATATTAATGTCGAATAAACTGAAAAATATATTATTCTCCTAACTTGATAGTAAAGAAAAGTACGCACATCTCACAGTTGCAGCCACGCTTTTCGCAAGCATAAAAACAGATCTCTCTCTCTCTCTCTCTCACACACACACAGAGTACGCACACTGACAAACTCAAGAAAAAATGAAATATTTATATGACCACACAGTCACATATAGCAGAGAATACAGTATGGGTGTACGCTTATACCGCAAACAACATATTCCCGGAATGTTCGTTTTCCAATATAAACAGTGAGTATTAGTGCCAAATAATTTTCGTTTATATTCCAGCAAGTTGCACAGAAGCGAAGAGGAAGAGAGTAACTGTCCGTCTATTGACCAAAAATACAGAGAAAATGTGTGTTCAAGATGCAGAGCAAGAGACAGAGGGACTGGAAAATCCCAAAATTGATGACGAAACAAGCATAAAGACTTCGTCGTTGCATTCTCAAGTTGATTTCGTCACTGCCCAGAATAAGAATTGGGACAAGAATTCGTCGGCTTTTGATAATGCTTCTACGACAAATTCAGTTCCAGTAAGTGGAAAATAATCTGCTTTTCTCTTGAATTCCATGGCTATTTGTTTTAATTTCATTTAACTTTTCTAATACCTGTTGCCCCCATATGATTGAAATCATGTTTTCTTTGGTATGATATGTTCATTTTTGTTAGGTTTTGCCCTCATTTGATTAATTCAGTTCCTAGGTATATAACTTAAAGGTTAATGTTTAGGTTAGTGTAATTTTTCTGTATTTATTCCTAGCTTAATGGTCTCTTCAGTTTCACTGTTTGTGATAAAAAGGATTGTTCTAGGTGATAAATAATTTACAAGATTTTTAGCTTATTTTTGTTCTCAACTCCGTCCAATACTATCCAATCATCCCTACCAAATCGAGCTCAGAAGGTTGAAAGGCTTAGCGGATATGTTTGGGACTCTTGAATGTTTGCAATTTTCTTTTAAAAGAGCTAAAATATATATTTTTTCCTTTGGAATTTGAGGATAATCTATAAATAGACTAACAGAAGAAGGTGTTCTACTTGTCTTTTCTCCTTCTCAATTTTTCAGATTGTGCATATAAAAATAGTTATGTTTTTTCCAAATTAATAGATATACTCTAAATCTGCAGTGGTGACACACCAATATTCAAGTATCACCCTTCTTTTTTCTACGGTGTTCAAGTTGTTTTGGTCGGTGCACACCAGAAGTAACAAGGTTCCTTTGTATTCTAAAGGCATATTTGCATATCCAGTACACCGCTCTTTTGATGGGGGAACATAATATATTAATGCAAATGGCACAATAACGTGCTTCAGTGTTGTGTTCTAATATTACAACAATTTCCACTGCCATCAGATTCCAGCTCTTGATTATTGTGCTTGCCGGTGTTATCTCTATCTACTTTGATTGTTTTCGATATCTGACAATTTTTCTAATCCTCTCCAAAAGCACTATCATTATACACTAAGAAAATCATAGCTAGCTTCTTTTATAGAAGAGGAAATTAATAAGTAGCAAGTTACATTTTTCTCCAGACAGCCCCCTTTTGCTTTGCTGGCATAAATAAGAGCTCTTTCTCTAACTGTTAATTTGTATCTGCTTTTCTCTGCAGCTGGAAAGCATTTGCGAAGATGCAGCCATTACAGACAGGAAACACATTGTGTTGAATAACTTCCTTCCTGCCCTTCGGTCTGGGGGGTGGTCTGATATTGGAGGACGGCAGGACATGGAGGACACTCACATCTGTATTCCGGACTTGGCTATGAATTTTGGTAACAGTATACATGGAGAGGATGCTGTCTCCTTCTATGGTGTATGTTCTTTAACCTTTATATTTGACATCTGACTTTTTTGCCTATTCACAACTAAACGACTATTAAGTACTTCTAAAGATATTCCTGATGTCGTTTGTTGTAAATTATCACTAAAAGAACGAATTTAAAGCCATTTTGTTCAAATTCAGATGTCTTTGCTGTTTGTTCATGTGGCAGGTGTTTGATGGACATGGTGGAAAAGGTGCTGCAGAATTTGTACGTGACCACTTACCAAGAATCATTGTTGAGGACGCTGATTTTCCATTGGAACTTGAGAAAGTGGTCACAAGATCTTTTGTGGAGACTGACACTGCCTTTGCAAAGTCTTGCTCGATTGAGGCTACTCTGTCCTCTGGCACAACAGCGCTTACTGCAATGATATTTGGCCGGTAAACTTCTCCTACCCTAAATTTCATTCTTTATGATAGCAGTTTCTAGGTGTGTGACTGTGTGTTAAATTTAAAATCTTGATGTCCAATAGTTCGCGGTGTACAAATATACATCATTATAGTTTTGGTCTTATCATTTCTTCTTATGATTAGCATTTGCCGAAAAATGATTACTATAGCCCTGGGTCGAAATATTTAGTTATTTCTCGTACCTGATGCTGTGCAATTTTGAACAGATCATTACTTGTAGCAAATGCGGGAGATTGTAGGGCTGTATTATCTCGCCATGGAGTTGCTATAGAGATGTCAAAGGATCACAGACCTTGTTGTGTTAATGAAAGGGCACGCATTGAATCACTTGGGGGATTCATTGATGATGAAGGATATTTGAACGGGCAGTTAGGTGTGACTCGGGCATTAGGAAACTGGCATATCAAAGGACTGGAAGGGGAAAATGGCGGACCTTTAATTGCTGAGCCAGAACTTAAATTGATGACCCTAATGAAAGAAGACGAGTTCTTGATAATAGGCAGTGATGGAATATGGGACGTTTTTAGAAGCCAAAACGCAGTGGACTTCGCTAGGAGGAGACTCCAAGAACACAATAATGTGAAATTGTGCTGCAAAGATATTGTAAATGAAGCCAAAAAGCGAGGGGCTACGGACAACTTGACAGTTGTCATGGTTTGTTTTCAATCCGAGCCACCACCTCCTGTCGTAGTGCAGAGACCCAGAGTTCGAAGGTGCATTTCTGCAGAGGGTCTTCAGAACCTGAAATTTCTGCTTCAAGGTTAGAAATATTTTTCTTATCATTTTTTTCCTGGGGTGGCAGAAATCAGCACCATCTACAGTAATCTTGTAATGATGATGATAATTGGATATAGTCTTAAAAAGTGTCCTGTAAATATGTCATGTGGTTGACGAAGTTTTTCCTTTTGTAAAGCTTGATTTTGGTGTCATATGGATGAGTTGACACAAAATAAAGCATGAGGCTACACTGTTGTTGTAAGGTACACAGAAGAATTGTTAATATATAATATACAATCTTATTACATTCCTGAAACCTCAACTTCAGAATTTGAACACCTAAAGTAAAGAAGGCATTCTTGTCATAGGCACTAAACTATGCAACCAATTCTCATTCTGGGAAGTGGGAAAACCAACTTTACCTCATCAAATTTAGCAAAGAATGTAAAGACAAAGCCTTTGTACTTACCTCATCAAATTTAGCATCATTTTTTGGGACGCAAAGGATTTTTCATTCCCTCGCTCGTTCCTTGTACTGAATTTTTTCTTTAATTTTGGTCAACCAATGGACTGTTTTCTTTCTTCCCCTTCACTTCCTGGGCAACTCGCTTCCTATTTATATCGGGGAATAAACATTCTTAGAATATGTTGTTTGTCACTACGAATGAGAGAAGTGTACCAGCTTCTGCTATTGCAGTATGTGACTGTGTGGCACCTGCACGTCGATAGTATAGTCATATTACTTTTATGTGCGTGTTATACTGTGTGCTAGATCAGAGATCTTTTTTATTCGACTTACCCCCACGTCTTTTTGAGAGAAGAGGTCAAGGGCTAAATAACTCTCAAAAACTATTTTTCGTATTGCATCAAGAGAAATGATGTAGATATGATCATTGCTTAAAGAGTTTCGTTGTCGGACTGATCTCCAAATTTGATTTCACTTGGTTTCGAATTTAGAAAATATAATATTTTTCATTTTCTTGGACTTGTCTTGCTAAAAGAAGACCTAATTCACCTAAATTGCCAAACCAGGTCCAGGAGCAAATTGTAAAATGTATAGTGATAGTATACGTCCATTTGTTAATAAGCAACCAAATATTGCTTGGACTGCTGAGACCGGAATTCTCGCTAGCAATTGTACGTATTTCAGCAGGGACTCCATGGTTAGTTTTGCCCTAGTAAGATCAGCTCTGCTGCGTGGGATAAACAAGTCTTCTCTTGCGAATTTGAATATCGCTTGGTGGCTATGTTCGGAAGAATTTACCGGTTTTACAACTGGATCATCATCCACTCACGAAAAACAAACTACAAACTCATAAAATCAAATTTTAACAACTATTTTACCTATCTCCATGTCAAAAATGTTTCGAACATAAAAACAGAATTTTCGTTACCAAAAGCCAGAAAATACACCTAGTCCATGTGTATAAACAAACTTGTATGTTATGAACTTCATTGTGGGAGTAGCAGGAAGAAGAGGCTCTGCAATTGAGGGGAGAGAGGAGAGGGTGCTTTGATGGTTGGCCCCACCCGAGGAGTTGTGCTGTAACTTGGCCTGCTGCTGCCCTAACCCATTCATATCAATCAGCGTTATTAAAAGCATAATGCACGACAATTCACGAGGACCAAACTTTGGTCGATGCGTGCCTAGACGAGGCTTAGGCACAAGGCGAAAAATCCTTGTAGATGCACTCTATAAATTAGTGGACAAAAAGGTGAAGAACAACTTTGTGCGCATTTCAATCTATTGGCATAAAATTTGAAAAATTTATAATTATTAATTTTTGAGCCTTTCAATCTAATTGACCCAAAAGTT